CGCCGTTGGTTCCTGTATTAAAACCAAATGGTGAAATAAGAATTTGTGGGGATTATAAAACAACAATAAATAAATATTTACATGATTATAAATACCCCTTGCCCAGAATTGAGGAAATTTTTACATCTTTAGAAGGAGGTGAACTTTTCATCAAACTTGATCTTTCCAATGCATACAAGCAACTTATTCTGGATGAAAAATCAAAACTTTTATGTACTTGGTCTACACATTTGGGTACTTTTAAAATGAAGCGTATGTCTTTCGGTATCAAACCGGCAGCATCAATATTCCAAAAAACAGTGGAAACATTATTATGTGGAATACCATATGTAGTTGTGTATCAAGATGATATAACAATATCTGGAAAAAATTTAAAACAGCATGTTGCTAATTTAAAATTAGTATTAAATAAATTAAAAAATTCTGGATTAAAACTAAATTTACAAAAATGTTCATTCTTTCAAAAAAAAATTTCTTATCCAGGATTTACTATAGATAAAAATGGTCTTAGTAAAAATCCTGAACGGATATCTTCTGTGTTAAATGCACCTATACCTAATAATGTGTCTGAGTTAAGAGCATTCATATATATATATAGGAATGGTAAATTATTACTCAAAGTTTATTAATAACTATGCTTACAAAATGATTCCACTTTATAAGCTTTTACAAAAAAATACTAAATTTGTATGGTCTGAACAATGTCAAGATGCATACAAATGCATAAAAAAGATATCACATCAGACCAAGTACTTACACATTTCAACCCAGAATTACCAATTATACTAACAACAGATGCTTCGAATAGTGCAGTTGCAGGAGTTCTTTCTCATGAATTTTCAAAGAATGATTGCAAACCAATTGCCTTTGTTTCAAGAGCTTTAACTAAATGTGAACAAAATTACAGCACTCTTGAAAAGGAAGCGTTAGCTATAATTTTTTGTGTTTCAAAGTTAAAACAGTATTTACATGGCAATAATTTTATATTGCGAACTGACCATAAACCACTTATTTCAATTTTCAATGAAAATAAAGGTTAACCTATCATGGCAGCAGCAAGAATGCGAAGATGGGCTTTTATTATGACTGGTTTTAACTATAAAATAGAGTATGTTAAAGGACATTTAAATCATGCTGATAATCTTTCACGTATTCCGCAGACGCATTATGATGAAACTATGAATGACAACCATGACGACGATGAAAGCTATATATATAGTATTCAAGAGCAATCTCATTTAAATCTAAATTTTAAAAATATAGCACAACAAACTAGACGTGATCCAATTCTTTCAAAAGTATCTGATGCTGTTTTAAATGGAACAATTAACAATTTAAAAGGAAATCAGTTTACGTCATTTACTACCAAGAGTATAGAATTAACAGTTGATCGTGGATGTCTACTTTGGGGGTATAGAATTGTTATTCCTCAAAAACTTAGACAGAGTGTTTTACACAAATTACATGAATCTCATTTAGGAGTTGTCAAAACCAAATCTATAGCTAGATCTTATGTCTGGTGGCCAAATATAGATGTTGATGTAGAAAATTTGATCAAAACTTGCATTCCATGTCAAGAACTTTTAGCAAGCCCAGAAAAGAGCACTTTAATACCGTGGACTCCAACTGATACTGTATGGAGCAGAGTTCACATAGACTTTGCAGGGGTTTTTATTTATTTGTAATAATTGATTATTTTTCTAAATGGGTTGAAGTATATCAAACCAGAAACATATCTTCAAGTTTTGTAATATCAAAATTAAGAGAATTATTTTGTCGTTTTGGAATTATAAATACAATTGTGAGTGATAATGGTAGACAATTAATTTCAGAAGAATTTAAAGTTTTCACCACAAAGAACAATATAAAACATATTTTGACTGCACCTGGTCATCCTTCAACCAATGGACAGGTTGAAAATTTTGTAAAAACACTAAAAAAATCTTTATATGCAAATTTGCGTAATCAAAATGAAGCAAATTTTGAAATTGTTTTAAATAGATTTCTTATGGATTACCGAAACACCACACACTGCTCTACTAAAGAGTCTCCAGCTAAGATTTTCTTAGGTAGAAGGATTAGAAATAGATTTGACTTCATGAGACCTCCATTAACTAAAGATGAAATAATATGTAATCAAGAAAGAAGCATTAATAATTATAAGGGTAAACGAAATGTTGATTTTGATATAGGTCAGAATGTGTATGTCCGTGACTACACAAACCCTAACAGATCAAGCTGGTCTCCAGCAAATGTTAAAAAAAAATTGGTCCAAGATCTTTCTTTTGTACACTTTCACATAATGGGAGGGAAATAAAGCGGCATACTGACCAAATACGAGCAGGTGCTACTAAAAAATTAGAATAAAATAATAATATCAAATGCCACACTGAGTCTAATATTCTGGACAACAATCCTTCAGTCACTGAGAATATCATGGAAACTCACACACCACTTGAAAATTCAGTAAGTAATAATAATGAAAATATTTTGATTGATAATAATGTACGTAACTTAAGACCACGTAAGAATGGTAAAGTAACTGAAGAATAATAAATTTAATTTAATAAGATATTTTGAATTACATTATGGTATATTGTGAATTATTTATATTTTTGAAGTTACTTGAATTATTTATTTTGATTTATTGAATTTATTCTAATTTTAATTTAATTGTAATTATAAGTAATGTTTCATTTATAAAGTTATAATTTCAAAAATTATTTATTTAATGTTAAATATAATATAAACAAATAGCTCATTTAGGAGGAGCATGTTATATATATAATTAATATATATATTTATAACAATTTAAGTTACAGTGTATACTCAAAAATGTTTAGTTCGTAAGCTTTTGATAATGATAATAAAAGTTAGTCTGTAATACAACTCAAATGCGCCCAAACCATCAACGGTTGAAGAGCTTCAACTTTTCTTAGGGAAAGCAACATACTATGGTGCGTTCATTCCGGATTTGGCTACAAAGGCGCGACCATTACGGGACATGTTGAAAACAAAAGAATTTTGCTGGACGGGAGAGGCAGATGCAGCATTTAATCAGTTAAAACAAATATTGACTTCACCTCAAGTATTAATTCCATACGATTTGTCACTACCGGTAATGTTAGCAACAGACGCAAGCCGCACGGGTCTAGGTGCTGTATTGTCACATCGTTTAGAAAATGGAGTGGATCGGCCAATAGTTTATGCAAGTCGAACGATGACAGCTACGGAACAACGATATACACAAATTGATAAAGAGGCACTAGCTATTGTGTGGGCAATGCAAAAATTTTTCAACTACTTATATGCTCGTCATTGGATATTGATCACGGATCATAAGTCGTTATCACAGATTCTTCAATCTAATAAATCGCTTCCAGTACTATGTATAAGCAGAATGGCTAACTATGCAGAGTTTTTAAGCAGATTCGATTTCGAAGTTATATACAAAAATTCAAAAGCAAACGCAAATGCCGATTATTTGTCACGTGCTTCCCTTCAACAAATAAATCAATTGCAACAAATAGTAGCGACTCATTCAGATGAATGTGATGAGTTCGATAATTTCATGATTTGACAGATAAATCAGTTGCCTGTTAAAGCAGAACGTATTGCAATAGAAACCAGAAAGGACAAGCATCTCGGCAAGATAATCAGAATACTGGAAAGTGGCCGCTGTTTAAAAAGAGAAGGTTACAAATCGCCAGAAGCGAGTTACGTGTTGTCATCAGGGTGCTTGACGTTCGAACATCGGGTCCTTATTTCTCCTCATTATGGACAAAAATTATCGACCTACACACATCGCACTCAGGAATTGTAAAAATGAAGGGCATTGCTCGTTCTTTTATATATTGGCCAGGAATAGACAAAGATATTGAGAATATGGCCAACGAGTGTGATGGGTGGCGAGATAAGCGAATAAGCCGGTGAAACGCGATAGTCATCATTGGGAATACCCAAAAGGACCATGAGAACGTATTCATATTGACTATGCAGGGCCATTTGAAGGGGCAATGCTATTAGTAATTGTTGATGCTCACAGTAAGTGGTTAGAAGTTAAAATCACAAAATCTACTACGGCTGAAGATACAATTTCGCTTTTGGACGATGTATTTGCTGCTTTTGGTGTTCCGATTATGGCGGTTTCTGACAATGGAACGAATTTTACTTCTGTAGAATTTGACAATTTCCTCACAACAATTGGTGTCAAATACCATAAATATTCAGCTCCGTATCATCCAGCTACTAACGGTCAGGTGGAGCGTAGCGTACAAACAATCAAAAATGCACTAAAGGCAATAGGCACAACAAGCAAGTATTTAAAGAAAAATTTGAACGAGTTCCTAAGGCAATACAAAAATGCCCCGCATTAAACTACAGGGTTCTCGCCAGCTCAGTTGTTTTTGGGAAGACATCTGCGAACACGCTTAGATCTCATTCGGCCAGAGGAAATTGCAAAGAAAGTGAAAGAAAAGCAATACTTGCAGTGTTAATCTGGTAATGGGTGTAGGGAATTCGCAGGCCAAAGCGTATACTTCTTATCGGGCAATTCGCGAATGCATAAATGGCTCAGAGGAACAATTAATATACGTTTAGGTGATCTTCACTACGAAATACTTTTTGTCATTTTAACTGAGTAGTGTTTGTTAATAGTTTATTATTATGAAATAGAAATGAAAAAATATTATTCTTATCTGTAACTTGAATGAATAAAGTTGAAATACAAAACCTTCACTGCATATAGCGGTTTGATTTTGTGATAGCAAAAATTAAGAATTTGTTTGGCAATTTACGACCGGAGCAAGTTATTGTGCAAAGTCGCAATGTCGAAATTGTGACTTCATTAAAGAATAAACGCGATCAATTGAAAATTAAACGCAATTCATTGAATAATAACCGCGATCAATTGAAGGTGCTGTTCTACGCTGATTGAATTGCTGATTCCTATGCCGATAGCTTTCCGATATCACCTGAAGAACAAATGTACGCAGCAGAAGTTAAGATTATTTCTTTGTTCGAAATATTTCAAAATGGTGCATCAGTTCGAGACTTAATCGGTATGTCATTCAAACAATTAATCAATATTTTATACTAATTATTTTGGCGTTCTTTCGCAGGTGCATACGTGGTCATACGTGGTCACATATGAAGACAAATTCAAATTGGCCGATTTGATTCGATTGTTTATTCAAGAACAAATGATTTTGCACGAGAATGAACTATAAATGTTAATTTATTTTTGTAAATTGTTTTCTACAACTTTCTTTAGATTTTGTTCACATTTTATTCAAATTTTTCAATAAAATTTAATTACTATTAATATTGTTTAAAAATTGTATTTTCTATTTTCTGGCAACCCTAGTATATTTTTTTAATTTGATAAGAACTATACATTTAAATAGGTACATAAACGTAGTATATATGTAGGTATGTAGACAGGGAACTATATGCCATTAAGGTTCATAAGAATGCAGGTCTTTTTTGCTGGTAACGTCATCAACGAGGAGGCGAATCCTCGGGTATAAGTAGCGTTGTAAAAGAGTGTCAGTTGTAATACTCCTCTCTTATTATTGTCTTTTTTTTTGTTCACATATACATACATATAAATGTGGTTTTGACATATATAAAAAAGGAGATAGTGGTTGGTTGATGTGAAAAAAAAATGAGTTAAAGACAGGACAAGAAAGATTATTTGGTGTAGGGAGCTATAAGAAATTTATTCAGACATTTTAATTACAGCTCAACGGTAGTTATGAAAAGGTAACGAGGGTGGTCAGGTCCAAACCGACGGACATGAACTGGAAAAACAATACAGAGGGATCGACACTGATTGATAAAAATTAAATTAAGGTTAATTTTTTCTTGCCGATAATGGCGTGTCTTTTTATGACGAAAGAAACTATTTAAAAGTTAGACGGATTCGAATAGCAAAGAAAGGACAAAGACAAAAATTTTTTATTTTCAATTTATTGAAATTTGGCTGACCATACAACGCTGTTTCGAGTATTGCCAAGTACTCTTCATCAGTGGTCTTTGGAAATAATCGAATTTTATTTAATTAGTTTATAGTCCATATATAATTTGTTTGGACTGCAAGTGCCAGGGTTCTGATTTAAAGCACGGCAAGTGCTTTGGTTGGTGTCACTAATTAAATAAAAATAAGTGATAAAACCTGGATTTTGAGCATTGAAAGTTTGTGCAGCCTTGGCTATTTGTGGATAAACACGATTAGTCATCGCTTCTACTTTGACAGGCACGAGTTCTAAGCCTGACACTTGCAGTCCAAACAAATTATATACGGACTATAAACTAATTAAATAAAATTCGATTATTTCCAAAGACCACTGATGAAGAGTACTTGGCAATACTCGAAACAGCATTGTATGGTCAGCCAAATTTCAATAAATTAAAAATAAAAAATTTTTGTCTTTGTCCTTTCTTTGCTATTCGAATCCGTCTAAAAATTAAATTATTTTTGATTTACTTTTTTTTGTATTATTATGATGTAGTTTTCTTTACTTCTGAATTTTTAGTTTTTTTTGATTTTTTTATTAATTTTTTTTGACATGACAATCACCACACTGCACACACAAAATGAATACGTAACATAAGGTAAACAGTACTTGAGATTGCTTATAACGTAAATTTTCATAAATAATGTGTGATAACTTCGTAGTTTTTC